GTAGCTTGAATTACAGATGTGAGCCATTGCGCCCAGTTATTGTTGTTTTGTTGGTCAGTCATGGGGCTTGAACTCAGGGCCTGGACGCTGTCTTTGAGCTTTTTTGCATAAGGCTAACGCTCTACTACTGTGAGACACAGGATCATTTTCGGTTTTCTAATGGTCAATTGGAGATAACAGTCTCATGGACTTTGCTGACCAGGCTAGCTTCGAACTACGATCCTCATATCTCAGTCTTCTGAGTAGCTAGGATTATAGGCATGAGCCACTGGCACCCATCACTGGGCCCAGCTTGGTAGGTCTATTTTTCAGGTTTTTGAGGACCCTCCATACTGGTTGTACCAGTTCACATTCCTACCATCAATATATAAGAGTTCCCTCTCTGATTATGAATGGAAGCTATAAATGTGACATCTGCCCTCTAATCACATTAGTTGCTGCAGCTGACCTTAAAAGAAACTAAAACCACTGAGCTCTTTTAATAGGTGGGTCAAGTCGAAGACAAAGCATAAGAAGATTCTGATGGAAGTCAGGGCTACACACATGAAGGAAATGGTGACTCCATACCTACAGCCAAAATAAGAACATAAATTCTGCCAACCCTGAATGAACTGGAAAGTGATTTTTTTTCTTTTTTCTTTTTTTTGCCAGTCGTGGGGCCTGAACTTTGGGCCTGGGCTCAAGGCTAACACTCTACCACTTGAGCCACAACACCACTTCCAGCTTTTTATGCTTATGTAGTACCGAGGAATCGAACCCAAGGCCTCATGCATGCAAGGCAAGCACTCTACCACTGAGCTACCTTCCCAGCCCTTGCAAGTGATTCTTTACCAAAGCCTCCAAGTTTATCTACTACCAGGCTGCCTGTCTGTCACTTTCAATTAAGCTTTGTAAGACCTCAGGTTCAGTCCACTAGTTCTAATGACCTACAGAATTACAGAACTAGAACACAACTGTGAGATGATAAATGAAGCTGCAAGAAATGTGGTAATTTATTATACAGCATCAGAATACTCATAGGATAAGACACAAGAGCAAATTATAAACTCATATTCCAACAGAACCTTTCATCCCAGAATTCCCAAAAGCACTAACATATTTAATATAAGCTATAAAAGAGGATAAAATCATTTGTCAAAAAACAAAACTTAATCATAATTTTAGAGGAGTTTCACCTTTTAATGGCACCTAACCTGTATGACAACTTTTTTAACAATTGAGAAATACGATATGCTTTGAATTGAAATATCCAAGCAAAAGTGGACAGCTCCACTACACTTGTAAATGATCAAATTACCTAATTCCAACCAAAGTTGATCCTGTGTGAAAATACATGCTGAAAAACTAGTGTAGTTGGGGGCTGGGAAGGTGGCTGAGTGGTAGAGCGCTTGCCTTGCATGTATGAGGCCCTGGGTTCGATTCCTCAGCTCCACATAAGCAAAGAAGAAAAAAGCCGGAAGTGGCTCTGTGGCTCAAGTGGTAGAGCGCTAGCCTTGAGCTGAAGAGCTGTGGGACAGCGCCCAGGCCCAGAGTTCAGGCCCCACGACCGGACCCAAAAAAAAAAAAAAAAAAAAAAAAAAAAACTAGTGTAGTTGGTGGTTCATACCTATAATCCCAACTACTCAAGAGTTGGGAGATTGACGGGGCTGGGAAGGTGGCTCAGTGGTAGAGTGCTTGCCTTGCATGCATGAGGCCCTTGGTTCGATTCCTCAGCACCACATAAACAGAAAAAGCCGGAAGTGGCGCTGTGGCTCAAGCGGTAGAGCGCTCGCCTTGAGCTGAAGAGCTGAGGGACAGCGCCTAGGCCCAGAGTTCAGGTCCACGACCAGCAAAAAAAAAAAAAAAAAAAAAGAGTTGGGAGATTGAGAAGATACATTCAAGGCCAGTCCAGGGAAAGTTAGCAAGATCTCATTTTCAACAAACAAACAAGCCATGAGTGATGGTTCATACTTATCTTAGCTACTCAGAAGGCATATGTAAGGGGCCGGGAAGGTGGCTCAGTGGTAGAGTGCTTGCCTTGCATGACTGAGGCCCTGGGTTCCATTCCTCAGCACCACATAAGCAGAAAAAGCCGGAAGTGGCACTGTGGCTCCAGTGGTAGAGCGCTAGCCTTGAGCTGAAGAGCTGAGGGCCAGTGCTCAGGCTCAGAGTTCAGGCCCATGACCGGACCCGCCCCCCCCCCCCCAAAAAAAGAAGGCTTACATAAAATAAGCTCTGTTCTTAATAATTCATGGTAGCACACATATGTATTCCCAGCTACACAGGAGGCTGAGGCAGGATTGCTTGAGCCCAGAAGTTAAAGACCAGCCTGGGCAACCAACATAGTAAGCTCCTGTCTCACAGAAAAAAGAAAAGAAAAAGGATATCTGTTATTTTCCTGTGGTTTAGGTAAAGGAATGCTAAGACCATCTCTATTCTAGAGTGATGAAATTCATCAGAGATGTCAAATGAGTTTTAGAGGAACCAAACAGGAGTGAATAGTCTGTGAAGAAACAACTGCTACCTCCTTGAACAGGAATGTGGTATGTTCTTCAAAGCTTCTAAAAGGAACTCGCCTAAATTGCAGTTATAAATGCGGAGTACTACTGCAAAGTGCCTGCAGGCTTTTATAGCCTGCCACTCTGACATCAGAATAAAACTCACTAAAAATTTCTTCCCTATAATATAGATAATGGTCCCTTTCTTATTTCCTCTTTTATACTAGGTTTATTTCCTGCTGATATCAGGCCTGATTTAAAAGCAGGAAGGAGGCTATGTCAGTATGCAGTCTCCCTGAAAGCAGGAAGTACTTGACTGATTAAGGCCAGTATGACATTCATAGTGGACAGTTTCATTTTGACTGAATTAAAAGAACCTTTCCAATATTTGCTCCATTAGCATATGCCAGCAGCCAAAAAACAAGGAAATGAAAAAGTACATTCCTCATCACCAAGAGAAAAAGGATTCATACTCACCTCACACTGATAAGTAGCAATTAGACTTGAACAATGGAGATACACGAAAAAAATCTAAACTGGAATATACCCCACTCCAGTTTGAGGGGGAAGACGTTAAGCAATAGGTAAATGTAAACATAGCGTGTTTACATGGAGTGTTTTGTTCATACTGAGCAACCTATTGATCCCTTGGGCTGAAACAATCAGCTATACAGACACATACAGACACACACACACACACACACACACACACACACACACACACACTCAAAATACATCATCCTGTCTAGTTATAGAAAAGAAAGAAGAGGTTTCTAGGATATAGGATCCTGTTCAAGCTGGTTGGGAGTGACCAAAAGTCACCTTTGGATCAGTAACATGTCTTATTTATTTATTTGTTTGTTTATTTATTTATTGTCAGTCATGGGGCTTTAACTCTGGGCTTGGGCCAGAGATAGATAGAAAGATAGATAGATAGATAGATAGATAGATAGATAGATAGATAGATAGATAGATAGATAGATAGATAGATAAAAGAAGCTGGGCATATAGGTTCACATTATAACTGGCTTGGACCAGAGTTTTATATATATATACATATATATATATATATAAAAGAAGCTTGGCATATAGGTTCACATTTGTAATTCAAGCTACTCAGATGCCTGAGATCTGGAGGATCAGGATTTGATGCTAGCCCAGGCAGAGAAATTCATTAGACTGCATCTCCAAAAAAACTAGCAAACAGCCATGCTGGAGACATGGCTTAAGTGGTTCTAGAACATCAGGCTAGCAAGAAAACCAGGCAAGTATGATGTCCTGAGCTAAAATCCCAAAAATGGTAAAAAAATAAAAATAAAAAATAAAAAAATAAAAGGTTTATTTTTCCTGGTCCTTGGACTTGAAGTCAGGGCCTGAGCACTATCCCTGAGCTTTTTCTTTCAAGGCTGGTACTATATCACTTGACCCACAGCTATAGTTCTAGCTTTTTTTTTTTTTTTGAAGTTAATTAGAGATAAGAATCTTATGGATGGGGCTGGGAAGGTGGCTCAGTGGTAGAGCGCTTGCCTTGCATGCATGAGGCCCTGGGTTCAATTCCTCAGCACCACATAAGCACAAATTTAAAGAAAAGCCAGAAGTGGCTAGTGGTAGAGCACTAGCCTTGAGCTGAAGAGCTGAGGGACAGCATCCATGCCCAGAGTTCGGGCCCCACGACCGGACCCAAAAAAAAAAAAAGAATCTCATGGACTTTCCTGCCCATGATGGCATCCAACCATGATCCTTAGATCTCAGCCTCCTGACTAGCTAGTTAGGATTACAGGCATGAACCACCAAAGCCCAACTCCAAAAAGAATTTTAAGATATATTTTCTTATCTAACATATTTGAAACTATCCTAACCACAGCACTTTACTATTTAAAAGTATGGTAATTCTATATGAAAATTTTTAATCCCACATGAGCATGGCTTCCTAGAAGCAGATCTTTAGGTAATGATATCTTATTAATATGCTATCCCTAAAAGGTATACAATAGTGTGTGTGTGTGTGTGTGTGTATATATATATATATATATATATATATATATACATATATATATAAAAAGATGGGTCCTACATCTTGAATTTGTTATTATTGGTTGCAGGGCTAGAACTCAAGGACTGGCCACTGTCCTTGAGGTTTTTAGCTCAAAGCTAGTGTTCTACCACTTTGAGCCACAGAGCCACTTCCAATTTTCCGGGGGGGGGGGGGGGGGGGGTGGTAATTGGAGATAACAATCTCATGGACCTTCCTACCCAGGCTGGCAGTAGCTAGGATTACAGACATGAGCCACCAGCACCCAGCAATGTCTTAAAATGTTTAAGATACAAAATATTATATACATATATACATATACATATATATTTATGGGTAGGTATGTCAATATTTTTTCTTATACAATATTATAAGAAACCATTAGAAACAGCTAACTTTTATGGTAGAAGAGATTTTCTTACTGTTTAAGTTATGAACCATTTTTACATGTTTTTTATATTTGACTTTTATTTTTTGGATTTGTTGCTTACCATGGAGCACTTCTCCAGTACTTCCTCCTGAAACTTCAGAAATCCTTCCTGAACCTCAACTTCATTGAGGAAAAAGGAAAGAAAGTGAGTAAAGGGCTGCTTTCTTCTAAAAGTGTGCAAAAGAACATCAATCCGAGTTCGGGCTGAAACCACACCATTCCGATGCTGGCCAGTGATCACTGCAAGCAAAGGAAAACAGGTTAACACATTCTAGGACTCCAGATGCTTTCAAAGGCAAATGCTTCATGATGTTTTCACCTCAAAGAAGCTATGAAGGTTCTAAGTGTGTACAAATCTGAATAGGGGTTGATACTGAGAAGAAAACTGCTAATTAATTCAGTCTATACAGAATGAAGATTAAAAATAGAGTATCTTTAAGACCAACTAATAGCCAAATGAGTTCAAAGTCTACAAAGCAGAGGAGGAGGGAAGAGGAGGGGATTCAAAGATTAACTGGGAGTCAGGCACTGGTGGCTCACATTTGTAATCCTAGCTACTCAGGAAGCTGAGATCTGAAAATCACAGTTTGAAGCCAGCCCAGGCAGGAAAGTCTGTGAGGCTATCATCTCTAATTAATCACCAGAAAACCGGAAGTGACAGAGCACTAGCCTTGAGTAAAAAAAAGTTCAAGGACAGCACCTGGGCCCTGAGTTCAGGCCTCACAACTAACAAAAGCAACAAAAAAGATCAACTCAGACCAAAAAAAAAAAAAAAAGAAGAAGAAGAAGGAAAGTAAAGCTATATCTATCTCTGTCTGAAATTAAAAATAGGATAAGGATAAGAAACTAAAGGGAACTGGGAAGGTGGCTCAGTAGTAGAATGCTTGCCTTGCATGCATAAGACCCTGGGTTCGATTCCTCAGCACCACATAAGCAGAAAAACCTGCAAGTGGCACTGTGTCTCAAGTGGTAGAGTGCTAGTCTTGAGCTGAAGAGCTGAGGGACAGCGCCAGGCCCAAGAGTTCAGGCCCCATGACTGACCCCCCCCCAAAAAAAAGAAAGAAAAAAGAAACTAAAGGGAAAAAGGCTTAAATTCCTGTTTGTTTCATTTCTGTCAAAGGCTACTACAAAAAATTAAATTTTTCCTTAAAAAGAGCATTTTTTTTAAAGAGCAAGATAATAAGATGCTTTTATTTTTCGAGGGCATAAGGGTATATACCTGAAATATCACACTCAGAAAGCTGATGCAAGAGCAGCCTGGGCTACACAGTGAGATCCTGTCTCAAAAGTAAGATAAAAATAAAGTCAGGCACCAGTGACTCAAGCCTGTAATACCAGTTACTTGGGAGGCAGAGATTGGGAGGATCAAGTTACAAGGCCAAAACATGGGTAAAATTTCCAAGACAAGTTGGGCGCAGGTGGCTCATGCCTGTAATCCTGGCTACCCAGGAGGCTGAGATCTGAGGATCACGGTTCAAAGCCAGATGTCCGTGAGACTCTTATCTCCAATAAACCACTAGAAAACACGAAGTGACACTGTGGCTCAAGTGATAGAGCACTCGCCTTGAGCTGAAGAGTGCAGGAACAGTGCCCAAGCTCAGAGTTCAAGCCCCACGAGCGACCAAAAGAAAAAAAAATGTCCAAGACATTTCATCAAACTAGTGACTAGGCACTAGTGACTAGACTAGGCCTATACCTGGCATCCCAGCTACATAGGAGAATAAACAGGAGGATCCAAGCCCAGGCCAGCCCTCGGCATAAAGGAAGATTCTACCTCAAATATAACCAGAGCAAAAAAAGGCTAGAGATATGGCTCAAGCAGTAATGTGTCTGCCTACCAAGTACAAAGCTGTAAGTCCAAATCCTAGTGCTGCCAAAAAAAAAACAAATTAAAATAAAATATAATACAAGATGCATTCATTTTTGTAACACAGAAAACTGAAATGAGTAGGTAAAAGGTGTTCAGAGACCAACTGGTCTCTGAAAAGTCAAAGTCTCAGGAAAAGTCAAAATTGATCAATGACTAAAGAACAAATACTAAGAATACCTAAGGGAAAGTTTTTATGTGGCATTTGTCTAAGAACTATAATAGGAAACCTACAAAAGTATTTATGTTGATTTTTTTTTTTTATTGGTAGTAGTGGTAGTGGTGCTGGGTAAGGAAGCCAGAGATTTGTGTATGCTAAAGCTGGTTCTCTACCATTGTGCTACATCCCCTTGTTAAATATTTTAAAAACTAGTTCCTTAACTACTGTGACAATCTCATTTATTAAGAGTCTTCTGATATTCCCTTACCTATGATATCCAAACAAGACAAAACCAAATCCTTGTCTGCAGGACAAATTAAAACCTACCAGGTTACTTTCTAATTTCTCTCCATTTTGGAGAGGCAAAATCAAATGAAGAAATAACAGCATAATACCTAATCCGATTGCTATCTTGATTTCACATGACAATTCAATTTATTGGCTAGGACCTATATATTTTATTTTTTTCATTTACATTATTTTCCTAGAAGATCTAGAAGTTATTTTATCCTCTTAGTTTTCAAATAAATCAATCCCACTAAATTCCTACTTTTTACTAATTGGGCATACTAGTTTTACACATTGCAACATTCCTGCTAAATAAAAATAGAATCTTTGTAACCTTCCTACCCTTTCTGGATAAGCTCTGGAATGACTCAAGTACCTTAAAATAACTAAGGTCAGGCCCATCAGCTGCACCAGACATTAATGAAAGTAAACTAAGCAACTCAAGGGCAGCAATGGGAGGGAGGGAATGAGAGAGAAAGAGGGAACATCTTACACTAAGCAAAAGGAAATAAATGTACATATCATCCGATTTGGAAGAAATAGTTGTACTATCAAAGTTCATATAGTTCATAAGCTTTATAGAGCATGATAGTGACAATTCACCTAATAAAGGTTAAAATGTGTTTGTGACTTTAGTTAAGTATCACTATCCCACAATACTGTGAAATTTATGTAATCACTTAATCTCATAAGAAATTTTTTTTAAAAATAACTAAGGTCTCCAAGTTTATAGCATGGTATAATTCATCTTTCTGCAATAAAAATTACATGTATTACGACAGACTTAAAAAATAAGGAAATAGCCAGGTGCCGGTGGCTCATGCCTGTAATCCTTGCTACTTAGGAAGCTGAGATCTGAGGAACGTGGTTCAAAGCCAGCTCAGGCAGGAAAGTCCACTCAGAAAACTGGAAGTGGTGCTGCAGCTCAAGTTGTAGAGCTCTAGCCTTGAGCTGAAGAGCTCAAGCTCTGACAGCGCCCAAGCCCAAAGCTCAAGCCCCCACAACCGACAAAAAAATGAGGAAATAGTATATGTTAATAGACTAGTTAGTAAAAGTCAATCTATCATTATAACATAAACTTCCCTTATTTATCTTATATATAATTTCTGCAAACTCATTTTTAAAAACATGTGTAGTTTTGGGCTGGGAAGTTGGCTCAGTGGTAAAGCGCTTGCCTTGCATGCCTGAGGCCCTGGGTTCGATTCCTCAGCACCACATAAGCAAAAAGACAAAAAGCCGGAAGTGGTGCTGTGGCTCAAGTGGTAGAGCGCTAGCCTTGAGCTGAAGAGCTGAGGGACAGCGCCCAGGCCCAGAGTTCAGGCCCCGCAACCGGACCCCCCCCCCCCAAAAAAAAAAAAAAAAATGTGTAGTTTTATAATCAGAAAAAAAGCTAGATACAGAAGCTATAATATAATTATAATCATTTCAAAATTTGTAATTTGAACTTTTTAAAAGCTTAAAGAAAAAAGTTTCTGTACTTAAAATTCTTTTTTTTTTTCAAAATGCTATTTTATTCATATATTACAAAAGCAAAACTTCATTTACAATATGATACCAGATATAGTTATTTCAACATTAAGCTGCTTTCTGGATCCCTAAATGATATAGTGTATTTTACAACTGTAATGCAAGAGTTATGCATTGAATACAAAATATGTTCTTTACATCAAAATACACATTAATGAAAAAAGTTCTAGAAAGCATACGCCCAAGACTAATGATAAAGTCTTTATCAGGGAATTTAGCTTTTAATAACATTTTTAATAACCCATTCATTTGACAAATACTTTTATAGAATGTAAAGTTTATCTTTATATTTTAGTAGTAATTCCCTTTGTCAAACAATTCTGCAGATAAACAGTAAATACTTATTTCTAAAACGAAATAGCAAGCTGGGCATAAGTAGCTCACGTCTGTAATCCTAGGTGCTACTCAGGAGGCTGAGATCTGAGGATTGTGGTTCAAAGCCAGACTAGATAGGACAGTATGTAAGACTCTTACAATTAATCACAGAAAAAGCTGGAAATGGCACTGTGGCTCAAAGGGTAGAACACTAACCTTGAGCAAAAGGAGCCCAGGGAGGGGCTGGGAAGGTGGCTCAGTGGTAGAGTGCTTGCCTTGCATGCATGAGGCCCTGGGTTCGATTCCTCAGCACCACATACACAGAAAAAGCTGGAAGTGGGTGCTATGGCTCAAGTGGTAGAGTGCTAGCCTTGAGCTGAAGAGCTCAGAACAGTGCCCAGGCCCAGAGTTCAAGCTCCATGACCAGATTAAAAAAAAAAAGGAGCCCAGGGACAGTGCCCAGGCCCAGAGTTCAAGCCCTAAAACCAGCAAAAATAAATAAATAGGTAAGTAAATAAATAAATAAAAATGAAATAGCATTGGAATTACCCAATGGAATTTTTCAAAGTAAAGTCTAGCCTTCAGTTGAATTTCAAGAAGTTGTAATTACATTACTACATTAGTAAAATCTGAAATAAAATCGTTCCCTGTTAATCTCTTAAAAGTTTCTTTAAAAATATTAGTGGAGATATATTATTTATCAATTTTTTAAAAATCTAAACTTAACCGGGTTGCCGGTGGCTCACACCTGTAATCCTAGCTACTCAGGAGGCTAAGATCTGAGGATCGTGGTTCAAAACCAGCCCGGGTAGGAAAGTCCATGAGACTCTTATCTCCAATAAACCACTAGAAAGGGGCTGGGAAGGTGGTTCAGTGGTAGAGCGCTTAAACCTTGCATGCCTCAGGCCCTGAGTTCGATTCCTCAGCACCACATAAGCAAAAAAGAAAAAAGCTGGAAGTGGCACTGTGACTCAAGTGGTAGAGCGCTAGCCTTGAGCTGAAGAGCTGAGGGACAGTGCCCAGGCCCAGAGTTCAGGCCCAACTACCGGACCCAAAAAAAAAAAAACACTAGAAAACAGGAAGTGGCGCTGTGGCTCAAGTGGTAGAGTGCTGGCCTTGAGCTGAAGAGCACAGGGACAGCGACCAAGCCCAGAGTTCAAGCCCCATGACCGACCAAAAAAAAAAATCTAAACTTATGCTCAATGAACAAAAATAAATTTCACTTCAGAACATTGCCTGTTAGCAGTAAAGTACTATAAATAGTGCATGTTAAACTTGCTTGACTCATTTCTATTAAATATTTGAGGAAAAATAAAATGAGAGGAATATATTCAATCGGTAAAGAAAACTGCACTCACAAATCTAATGAGCCAATTGCTTATTTCAGCAGGAACCTTTATATAATGTTGTTTAGAAGTTCTGATACTAGAATTTTCTGATATTACCAAAAGCCCAGGTATAGCTCTGTCACTATGGTGTCCAATATGGGCACCTATAGCTAGTTAAAGTTGAAAATCTGGCTCCTTTGTCACACTAACTAATCATGTGTCAAGTGCTCACAGTCACATGTGCTGGTGACACCTACTCTGGACTGGCAGGGACCGAAAACTTGTCTTTAAGCTATCCAAGCATACAAGAAATCTACTATACACTAAAATATGGAAGTCCTATTCCATCAGTGATGGTGAAGCTCAAAACCAGGACCAGGTCCTAAAGCCAAACCAGGTTGCCTACATCCTTTCTCATCTGGAAAATTAATTTGGTGGATCAAGATAGGAAAAAAGCTACATAATACCAGAGAACAAAGTCACTTAATGCTTCATCTGGGTTATTAACATGCAAAAGTAAATGTAAATTATAGATTGTGTCCCACCTATTTCTCCTTCTTGTCCAGGCTTAGGAATGCTAATAGATGTTTTAGTCTCCACTTCTATTTTCTTCTTAGTGTCTCCTCTTTTTCCAACTATATGCCTATAATGCGAAAAAAAATTAACAGAAGATTAAGTCAAAATGTTTCAAAATAAGGAACTCCACCATGTTTAAAAAAAAATTTTTTTTTGTCAGTCATGGGGCTTCAACTCTGGGCCTGGGCATTGTCCCTGAGCAATTCAGTTCAAGGCTAGCACTCTACCATTTGAGCCACAGCACCACTACCATTTTCTAGTGGTTAATTGGAGATAAGAGTCTCACGGACTTTTCTGCCCAAGCTGGCTTTGAACCACGACCCTCAGATCTCAGCCTCTTGAGTAGTTAGGATTACAGGTGTGAGCCAATAGCACCCAGCCCAAAATCTTTTTTTATCTCTAATATTGGAGTTTAGCCTCAGGCTCTTCTGCTTTTACTGAGATTTTTTTTTTTTTGCTCATGGTTGATGCTCAACTACTTGAGCCATACCTCCACTGGTTAATTGGAGGTATCTCAGTTTTGTCTGTTCGGATTGGCTTTGAACCTCAACCTTTATATCTCAGCCTCCTGAGTAGCTAAGATTATAAGTATGAGCCACTAGTGCCTGACTCATTTAAATCCCTTGTGCTTTAATAAAGCTCAGTGCTTTTGGAGAAAGTCACAAATCATCTAGCTGTACTATACTCACTAGCAAAGTAATGGCCTATAGCTAATTCAATGTGTAGATAGGATAACCGTTCCTAACACCTGTTTACTTCTCAAAATAAGATTCAAAGTCTGGGTCTACAGAGCAGCAAAAAGAAATCTGACACAGTTTCAGCACCCAATGGGTCTATAATTTGAAGACAACAAATTAATGTATCCATTTTGAAAAACAAACTATATTATGAATTCATCCTAAAAGAATTGCCCTTAGTTAATAAGAGAAAACAGCAGCCGGGCGCCGGTGGCTCACTCCTGTAATCCTAGCTACTCAGGAGTCTGAGATCTGAGGATCATGGTTCAAAGCCAGCCTGGGCAGGAAACTCCATGAGACTCTTATCTCCAATAAAACCACCAGAAAACCAGAAGTGGCGCTGTGGCTCAAGCGGTAGAGCGCTCACCTTGAACTGAAGAGTCCAGGGACAGCACCCACACCCAGAGTTTAAGCCCCACGACTGACAAAAAAAAAAAAAGAGAGAGAGAGAGAAAATAGCTTATCAAAGAGTAGGACTCACCATTCAGAACAGATTCAAAAGCACAGGAAGTAGCCAGGCCTGTAATGTTAACACTTGGAAGGCAGAGATCAAAGGACCACAGTTTAAGGCCATCTGGCAAAAATTTATGAGACTTCATTTCACAATGGTTCATGCCCAGTATCCGAGTTAAGAGGGAAACAGAATGGCTGAGTACAGTGATGCATGCATGTCAGGGAATCTTAGGAAGTACAAATAGGAAACTGCAGTCCAGACTGGCTCATGCATAAAGCAATACTCTATCTTGAAAATAATTATGCTAGAGCAAGCTGCTAATGTAGCTCAAATAATAAGAGTGCCTGCCCAGCAAGCATGAGGGACTGAGTTCAATTCTCAGTACTTACACACACAGACACACACACACACACACACACACATACATGGAAAGGGAGGGGGGAAACAGGAAAGGGGAGAGGGGAGGAGAGAAAAGAGAGGGAAAAGGGAAGGTGAAAGGGGGGACAAAGAAGGAAAGAGAGCACCAACGAACATGTGACCCTCAGGCTGAATTCAGCACAAGAGATTTCACCTTTTTCAAGCTCTACAAAATGCTAAAAATCTGATGACTCATGGCAAGAATAGGAAATCGCCTCTCAAGTATCCAGGATGTGAGTTTATCATAATCACTCACTACCTTCCATCTACTTCAATCACTTATTGACTCATTTACATTACTTGCCTGAGCCTTATAGCATAACTAATTCTAGCAATCCAAGGTTATCTTTTGAACCCACAGTAATTAGATCTGTTACAGTGAGTAAAACTACTGAATCCCAGGAGAGAAGTTTTAGCATCTATAAAAAACTAAGAGACTATCACAAGACTATAAAGTTAAGCGAAAGAACTCTGTATTATCAACATTATTTCAACTTCTATCATTTTAACTACATATCCAATAAAGGTGAATAAATCTAATATTGTTCTTTTTTTCAGGAATGCCAAGAATTAAACCTGAAGCTTCACACTTACTAAGCATGCATTCTACCACTGAGCTACACTCTAGTCCTTGTTCATTTGTTTTTACACAGAATAACCAAGACTAATTATTTCCAGTAAGATCTACTATAGTAAATCTTTAAATATATCCATCTATATGTGTATGCACACACACATACACACACACACACACATATGCCAAGCGAGTAATACAATTCAGCAATAGAGTGCTTGCTTAGTATATGTAAAACCAAGTTGACTGCCACTACTACAAAAAAAAAAAAATTAGAAGACAATTGGACCTCTAGAATTGCCCTGTAGTTTTCCTTTGTTTGGACTAGATACTATACTAACTCTGCCAGTTCTTATCAGTTTGAAGTACTTTCAGTCAAGCATCTGTGTGTTGGTATGTGGCTAGTGAACCAGCCTTCCAAGGGTTAGGATTACAGAAACAGTAGTTGATTCAAAGTGTTATTATTCGTGTAGGCTTCAATACGTTAGAAAAGGAAATGGTTAAAATCAAAGATCCTTTAGAGTTGAACAAACCATGCACAAGTCTTTTAATCACTCTAGGCCAAGGAAGGGAGCAAGGCATCTTTCAGAAAAATATTATCAACTAATTAGTATTTAGCAAAGCCAGTGTCTAACATGCAAGTCCTCTGGTGTATAATGAGTGTTTAGTATATATGCCCTTCAGAATTGGACCAGAAAGTGGTAAAGCACTTACCTAGCAACAGGGCCCTAAATTCAATCCCTAGTAATGCCAAGAAACAAAAAACAAAACAATAAAAAGAATACATAGAATTCACCAGGCAAAGTGGTTCAAGCCTGCAATCTCAGCTACACAGGTAGGACTGCAGTCTGAAGCCAGCCCCAGTAAAGCTTGAGACCTATTTAAAAAACACTAGCCGGGCACTGGTGGCTCATACCTTTAATCCTAACTACTCAAGAGGCTGAGATCTGAGGATTATGGCTCAAAGCCAGCCTGACAGGAAACTCCAGGAGACTCTTATCTCCAATTAATCACATAAAAGCCAGAAGTGGCGCTATGGCTCAAGCAGTACAATGCTAGCCTTGAGCAAAAGGAGCCCAGGGACAGTGTCTCGGCCCAGAGTTCAAGCCCCAGGACTGGCAAAAAAATAAAAATAAAAATAAAAAAATTCTACCCTTAATGCAAAGAACTGAGTGGAAAGAAAACAAGATCAATGTGGAGAGACTAGTAAGTGAGCTACTTTAAAAAATCCACAGGCCTGGTGTCGGTGGCTCACACCTATAATCCTAGCTACTCAGGAGGCTGAGATCTGAGGATAGCAGTTCAAAGCCAGCCCGGGCAGGAAAGTCCATGACACTCTTATCTCCAATAAACCACCAGAAAACCAGAAGTGGTACGGTGGCTCAAGTGGTAGAGAGCTAGCCTTGAGCTGAAGAGCTGAGGGACAATGCCCAGGCCCAGAGTTCAAGCCCAACGACAGAAAGAAAGAAAGAAAGAAAGAAAGAAAGAAAGAAAGAAAGAAAGAAAGAAAGAAAGAAAGGAAGGAAGGAAGGAAGGAAGGAAGGAAGGAAGGAAGGAAGGAAGGAAGGAAGGAAGGAAGGAAGGAAGGAAGAAGACAGACAGACAGACAGGAAGGAAGGAAGGAAGGAAGGAAGGAAGGAAGGAAGGAAGGACGGAAGAAGACAGACAGACAGGAAGGAAGGAAGGAAGGAAGGAAATCCATAGAAAAGGGTAGCAGTGACAGTTTGACAGAGATCAGTGGGTAGAGTCAAAGGATATTTAAGAGGCAAAAATCAACAGGATGTAGCAATATACATGAAATGATGAACATAGTGTATAATCAGTCCTTTGACATTTAGGACATAGAACAGTAAACTATTAGTAATTAAGCATCACAGTCAGCTTCCTGCTGAGTTTTCTGGAAATGCAGTCTTGTGAAGCTGCCAGAACCTCACTCACTTGTAGAGCAAGCTGGGGGCACTCACAGTAGACCGGAATCCTTGAGGGGTCTGCTCCACCTCGTACGCATCACAGGGCTCATCAGAATACTGCAGGGAGTCTGCACAAAAACAGTAACATCTCAGAAATGCTCCTGCTCCCTGGAAAACAGCCTGCTCCCAGCTGTCACTATCTATCAAGGCTTTAACAAAAGTAAAGCATACAGGAAAAAAAAAAAAAAAACAGCCCAACACTTTACAGATCACTGCACTAAGATTCCTCTTTTCTTAAAAGAAATTATCAAAAATAAATAGTTACTACTGGAAGTAGAAGTGAGGCCCAAATGGTAGAGCACCAGCCTTGACCAAAAAAAAAAAAGCTAAGAGAATATTTAGCGCAAAAAAAAAAAAAAAAAAAAACAGAAAAAAAATATTTACTACTTTAAATCTTTCAGTCTTGACCCTTGGAAAGCAGCATATACGTACCAGTATTAGACTGTTTACTCTTAGCACAACATACAGTTTTGTTTTGTTTTGAATTAGCTAAGCCCTGGTGATTCATCCTTGTAACCCTGGCTACTCAGGAGGCTGACGCCTGGAAGATCACAGTTCAAGCTCAGCTAGACAGAAAAGTCTGTGAAACCAGGTTCCAAGATGGCTCACGCCTATAATCCTAGCTACTCAGAAGGCTGAGATCTGAGGATCATGGTTCGAAGCCAGTCCAGGCTGAAAAGTCCCTGTGAGACTCTTATCTCCAATTAACCACCAGAAAACTGTATTGGCACTGTGGCTCAAAGTGGTAGAGCACTAGCTTTGAGCAGAGTTCTGGGACAGTGCCCAGACCCTGAGTTCAAGCCCAACAACTGACAGAAAAAAGAAGGGGAATGTAAAGGGAAAGAAAGGAAAAATCTGTGAAACTCTACCTCCAATTAACAAAAAAAAAAAAAAAAAGCCAGATGGAGGCATAGCCCAAGTGGTGGAATTCTAGCTATGAGCAAGGGAACCATGAGGTCCCAAGTTCAAGCTCGGGTACCAGCCCCTCCAAGGAAAAAGAAAAATTCAGGCTAGGCATGGTAATGTATACCTGAAATCCCAACTACTCAAGTGGCAGTGCTAGGAGCTCTACCACTCGAGTGATACCTCCAGAGAACATTTTTATTTCTAATCTGACCTAAAAACAACTAGGTTACCTTGATAAAAATCATCATCTTCTTCATGTTGGTAAGTCTTTTCTTGGATAGGATTCTTTCTGTAATTCCGCCCATCAATTGTTATAATCTGTGGGCGCAGAACTTCCATGATGCTTTCTCCAAATAATATTCTAGTGAAATCCTGAAAAATAAAGCAGCATCTTACCATTTTAAATGAAAACTCCTATTTCAGTTATAGGAATCATTTTGTAGGATTGGAAAGGGCTGGACATCAGTTCACAGCACATCCTAAGCAACAGTCCTACTTTCCTTTGAACTTTACAGTTTGCAAGCTGAAGTAAATCAGTTGCTCCAGTTTCCCCTACCTATTATATTCCTGGTTCACTTTAGATAGCAAAATAATTTGTGAATTGCTATTATTGTGAACTATTTATTACTGTCCCCCATTTTATTACTTTATCATCCTCCATTTTTTTTTATTACTTTAACCTAAAAGGAGTGCACATTTGATGTTCAGCTATTTGCAAGTATCTCACCCTTTCCATCCAGTATGATAATACAATGAGGGACATTTAGTAACTCCCACAAGAAGGCAAGAGATACTAAAGCTGCTAGAAATACCTACCTAAACATCAGATTCACTTGCCTGTCAAACCACAGATAAAATATGATTTAACCAAGTTTTCAGATCAACACCTTGCTCAGGAGAGAAACTCATTTCTGGTTATTGTTGTTTTGAATTATCTGTAAGTAGTTGTACAAAGGGGTTTTAAATTCAACAAAACAGTTTGTAAAACAGTTTGTAAGTACAATGTATATTGATCAACTACCCCTGGCATCATTCTGCCCCATTCCAAGCCCATCCATACCCTCAAATTACATGAATGAGCCCAATTTCTAAAGGCTCCTGTCTAAGGAACACCGAGCCAAGCTCCCAGTCACCATTTAATCAATGAATAATTTAGGAAATAAAGATTCCTTGTGAAACAGCTAGGGTTACTTTCAACCCATGTTCAGGTTCCTTGTGAAACAGACCACAGACAGTCATGAAGCCCAAAATATTTCAACAGTTCCCAAGAAAGAAAACACCTCAATCTTTACTAAAAGAAGTAAGTTCAGTTTTAAAAAAGAAGTTTTTTAACGGTAGTTTGCTCAAAGAAGCAAGAGGTTTTGTGTTTTGAGAAATAACACAAAAATTAAGTCGGGGGAGGGGAAGAAGGGAGGAGCAGCTCACACCTGTAATCCTAGCCACTCAGAAGGCTGATGTCTGAGGATTGCAGTTTGAAGTCAGCCCAGGCAGGAAAGTCAGAGACTCTTAGCTCCAACTAATCATACAAAAAGCCAGAAGTGGCTGTGGTTCATGTAGTAGAGTGCTAGCCTTGAACAAAAGGAACCCAGGAACCTGGGGACAATGTCCAGGCCCAGAGTTCAAGGGCCAGGACCAGCAAAAAAATAAAAATAAATAAAAAATAAATTTGCCTTCCTGGGCACAAGGTGGGAGGGAATGATTTACATCTGTAATCCTACCTACTCAGGAGGCTGAGATCTGAGAAGATTGTGGTTCAAAGCCTGCCTGGGCACAAAAGTCCAGAAAAGTCTTTCTCTACAATTAACCAGCAAAAAGCCAGAAGGGAGGAGAGCCAGTCTTGTGCAAAAAAAGCTAAAGGAGGGCTGGGAATATGGCTCAGTGGTAGATCTAGTGCTTGCATAGGTTTGATTCCTCAGTACCACATAAACAGAAAACGCTGGAAGTGGCGCGGAGGCTCAAAAGGTAGAATGCTAGCCTTGAGCTGAAGAGCTAAGGGACAGCGCCCAGGCCCAGAATTCAAGCCCCATGACAGGTAAAAAATAAAAAAGAAAGAGAAAAGTCTTAAGAGGAAGTGGAGCTATAACTAACAGTAGTCTAATGACCTCACACTCTGGATCCCTATTTCTTTAACACCTACTGGGGGGGGGGGGGGGGGGGGAAGAGGAGGGGTTCTGTAAAAGTAGACTTTGACATTATGTCGGGGCCCTTGACCCTGGAGCTGTGAGACACTGAAATCAGACAACTCGGAACCTTCCCTTCCCGTCAGCCCCAGGCTGTGAGACTGCTTAGAAGTGAGGAAGGGAATAATTTAAACTTGGTTCATACAGGCTTGGAAAAGAAGAAGGAGGAGAAAAAAAAGGGTACCCTTCCTTCCTACCGGGGGAATGAGGAAACCAACGCTAGGCCGCAGACCGGAAGCACCCTCCGGAAGCTGGCTCCCGCCCCGCGCCTCTCCTCCCGGCCCCGCCCACCACGTCTCGGGGACGCGCGCGTCGCTTTCCTCGTCGTGGCGACCGCCACCGCTCACGCTGGTTCTGGGGGCGGGGCTGTAAGAATAGGAGTAAAGCCGCTGAGGTAAGTGGCAAAGGGATTCTAAGGCCTTTGGGAGTTGGGTGACAAGGGAGTTTACTCCCTAGGTCCTACCTTCAGGGCCTGGGACAAGTGGAGCTGAGACACCGGAGACAGCCGTGGCGTTTGTGTGAAAGGAAATTTCCTGAGCGCGCGGCTTGGAATGCGCTTGCGGACCGAGGGTTGGCGCCTGCGCGGTGGAGCGGCCGTCCGACGACCGTTCTTTAGTGTTAGGCTGGGTGGGAAGCATGGCTTGGGGGCTTGTTTGGCCATCGCAGGTATTCCCACCTAATAAGCAGAACAGAACTAATAGCTCCCCAGCTATCTAGATGGAACACGGCTTGTTGGTGGAATTCAACGTTTGTAATAAATAATGTCTCTGTACTGGGATAGGAACTAACGTTAGAATCTCTGGTCTTTGGGGTTGTGTGTCGACTCTGGGGTTTGAACTCAAGGCCTGGGTGCTGTTCCTGAGCTTTTTTTTTTTTTTAAAGCTAGCTCCATTTCCGACTTTTGCTGGTTAATTGGAGATAATGTTTCCTGAGTTTTCCTGCCCAGGCTGGCTTCGGACCTGGATCTTCAAATCTCAGCCTCCTGAGTAGACAGGATTACAGGCATGAGCCCCCGGCACCCAGCTAGCAAGTACTTTTTCTTTTTGCCGGTCGTGGAGCCTGAACTCTGGGCCTGGGCGCTGTCCCTCAGTTCTTCAGCTCAAGACTAGTGCTCTACTACTTGAGCCACAGCGCCACTTCCAGCTTTTTCTGCTTATGTGGTGCTGAGGAATTGAACCCAGGACCTCATGCATACGAGGCAAGCATTCTACTACTGAGCCACTTTCCCAGCCCAGCAACGACTTAAAAAAAAAAAAAAAATTTTATTATTACTGTCTTTAAGTAGTTGTACAAAGAAGTTTCCATTCTACAAAACAGTATACAAGATGTCTGACAACATTGGCAACCATCGTTTCTAACCCATCCCTTCTCTCGCTTTTTTTAAAAATTGAGATTAGGTGATTACATGAATTTCACATATTTCACAGTATTGTGGAGTAGTGATACTTAAAATCACAAACAAATTTTAACCATCACAAGGCAAATTGTCATTATCATGGTCTATAAAGTTTGTGAATTCTATGAGCTTTGACAATACAAATTATTTCTTCCACATTGGGTGGTGTTTACATTTCTTTCCTTTGGCTTAGTGTAGCCAGCAAATACTTTTTTTTTTTTTTGGGTCCGGTTGTGGGGCCTAAACTCTGGGCCTGGGCGCTGTCCCTCAGCTCTTCAGCACAAGACTAGCGCTCTACCACTTGAGCCATAGTGCCACTTTTGGATTTTTTCTTTTTGCTTATGTGGTGCTGAGGAATCGAACCCAGGGCCTCATGCATGCAAGGCAAGCGCTCTACCACTGAGCCACCTTCCCAGCCCCAGCAAATACTTTTTGATGAGACCCTTTTTATGAAAACAGGTACAACACCAAGGGGAAAAAAATAAAAAGAAAATAGTTATATATCTTCCAGAAAGAAGAAACTATAGACTAATTTACATGACATCATCCCTGTTCTATACAAAGTAAAAGTCAAGCCATGCTGTGTTTCCTGTGAGAATTTATTTTTGCCAGTACAAGTGTTTGAACTCCGGGCCTTAAACAGACCCAGCTGGCCCTTTGCCACCTCAGCCACTATTCCAGCCTAGCTTTTTACTGGTTAATTTGTTTTTGTTGGTCATGGAGCTTGAACTCTGGGCCTAGGCACTGTCCCTCAGCTCTTCAGCTCAAGGTGAGCATTCTACCACTTGAGCTACAGCACCACTTCCGGTTTTCTGGTGGTTTATTGGAGATAAGCATTTCACGGACTTTCTTGCCCGGGCTGGCTTTGAACCGTGATCCTCAGATCTCTGCCTCCTGAATAGCTAGGCGTGAGCCACCAGCGCCCGGCTTACTGGTTATTTTGGAAGTGGAGGCTTATAGACTTTTCTGCCCAGGCTGGCTTTTAACAATGGTCCTCTGGATCTGTCTCCTGAGCCACCTCCAGCAGGCTCCCTGTAAGGAGTTCTACAGCAGACAGTCCCGGTTTCTTCGGTAAGATGAAATCCCAGGATAATGTCCTTTCCAATATTTGACAGATTTTACTGAGTTTGGTAGTAAGTAGAATTGTGCAAAGTGAGGGGGAAAAAGAAAATGTAACGGGCCATACTTCATGATGCCAAACATCTCTGTCCCCTACATAATCTTTGCTGAACTGTTAGCCTCTTGTTTTGTTATTTTTAAATCATTGATTTATCTAGGAAAGCTGTGATACAGAGGGTTGTAGTAGACCTGAAGGATAGAAAGTTCTTTCCCCCTTTGGAAAGTCAGAGGATTCTTTTTTTTTGGGGGGGGGGGGGAGGGGGAAGTCCGGTCGTGGGGCCTGAACTCTGGTCCTGGGCGCTGTCCCTCAGCTCTTCAGCTCAAGGCTAGTGCTCTACCACTTGAGCCACAGCGCCACTTCCAGCTTTTTTGTTTTTGCTTATGTGGTGCTGAGGAATGGAACCCAGGGCCTCATGCATGCAAGGCAAGCGCTCTACCACTGAGCCACCTTCCCAGCCCCAGTCAGAGGATTCTTATTAAGATCATGAACCTTAAAATGAGAGTGTTGGGGCTGATGGTATAGCTTAGTAAAGTGTGTGAAGTTTGTAGGAGAAGATAATTACTCATCTTCTTAAGCAGATCCTTTCCCTTCCAAGAGTTTGCTGTGTCTATCAGAGAAAATTAAACTTTTCCTGTAAGTATATAGGTTGGGAAATAATAAATATGAAAACCTAGAATCTGCAAACGTATCTGCATCAAGGGCTGGGAAGGTGGCTCAGTGGTACAGCGCTTGGCTTGCATGCCTTAGGCCCTGTGTTCGATTCCTCAGCACCACATAAGCAAAAAGAAAAAAGCCGGAAGTGGCACTATGGCTCAAGTGGTAGAGCCCTAGCCTTGAGCTGAAAAGTTGAGGGACAGCGCCCAGGCCCAGAGTTCAGACCCCACGACCAGACAAAAAAAAAAAAAGTATCTGCATCCAGAGTAGTCAGGTAGGGTGAAGCACACCTGTAATCCCAGCACTAAGTGGTAGGGACAGGATAATTTAAGTTCAGTACTAGCATGAGCTACATAGTGAGATCCTATCTCAAAAGATTCAGAAATTTCCATAACTATACTTATTTACATGTTTGCTAAACCTAAAACTGTTCCATGCTTTACATACATGAATCATATCTGTAAGGTAAATGCTATTACAGAATCCATTTTACATGTGAGATAACTAAAGAAGACAGGTGAAGTGATTTATCCTGTCATGCAGCAACTAAGTACCAAAACTAGACAAAAACCTAGTTTTTTGTTTGTTTTTTGTTGTTGTTGTTGGTTGTGGGGCTTGAACTCGGCCTGTCCCTCAGCTCTTCAGCTTAAGGCAGGTGGTCTACCACTTAAGCCACAGCACCACTTCCAGTTTTCTGGTGGTTAATTGGAGATAAATGTCCCATGGACTTTCCTGCCTGAGCTGGTTTTGAACCACCATCCTCAGGTCTCAGGCTCCTGAGTAGCTCGGATTACAGGTGTGAGCCACCAGCGCCTGGCTTTCAAAGTTAGTTCTTAAACACAATGCCTGGCAAATGATTTATTGGCACAATGGCATGTCATTCCTTCAGCAATGTCACAGCAAGTAAGTGGAATTTATCTCAGTGCCTTCAATTTTGTTATCTACAAATCGGGGAACTTCAGTTTGATGACCTTTAAGGAATCTGGGGTTCCTGGGAAACATTAAACTCATTCTACAAACAGGTATTTAAATAAGCTACTAAAGTCAAGCTTCATGGTTGGTCCAGTGATTAGTTATGGCCTAATAGTTTCACCAGTAATCTAAAAGAATAGTTAAAATCTAGGGTTTATTCTTAGGTTAACTCCCACTTGCTGATAGCATTAAAGCAACATAGGTTCTAAGGTTAGCTTAAGCCTTCACAAGGCCTTGGGTTCATTCCCCATCACCAAAAAAGAGATTTTTTTTGTTTTGTTTAATGGTGATGATATGAGGTTTGAATTCAGGGTCTTGACTTTGGTAGGCAAGCACATCAACTTAAATCTTTAGAGCTGGAAATTACATGTATCTTTCCATTTCAGCAGAAAACTGCTTAAAGTTAACCCTATACTAATTCTGTGCTGCTTTTTTTTCAACCCTGTCTTGTATATGTATGATAGTAGTTCTGAGAGTTTGAAAGAAAATAGGATGAAAGGAAGTTACTTTGATTGTATTCTGTTTCGAAGTCACACTGTGGCAAGCCTTTCAAGCTTTTCTGTCTCTGGCAGTTGCTTGGATTCTCTGCTGAGCAGCTGGTCTCAAAAACTTAAAGTATAAAGTATTTGCGACTGAATTGAGCACTTACCAGAGTAGAGGAAAAGATTAAATCCTAGGTGAAATATATAACAGTTCACAGTGGGTTCCACTCTAAACTGGTAGGAAATATAAACTAAGCTAGTCTCCGGAAAGTGGCCAAGTTGCCTGAATCTACCAGAAATCCAGCTAGATAGTTGGACTTGGTCTGTTAATGTTTTTTTATTTTAAAACTTTAGCTGTATTTGACCCAGTGTGGTCCAAAGAATTGGTTATGAATCTAACCTGGAAAGATGTTAGCTCTGTGGATATGAACACAATTTGGAAACTTCTCAGAAAAAAAAAATGGAAAGAAAAATAGCAAGATTATAAATGTCCTTTATCAGTCTGCATTTTAATAAGCTGGCAGACTAAATTTAGCCATAGCCTGTTTCTATATCTCACTTGAGTATTAATCCATATTACTTAAAGACATATTGAAACTAGAAGCCAAGCTCTGCTTTTCTGACCGCCTTAAATGATTGTTATAAAATTAAGGAAACAAGCGTCAGACATAGTATATCATTTTCCTTACTAGGAAACTAGATGTTCTGTGTGTATGTAGATTTATATCTACATAGCTTCCCTCATATCTTTTTTTCTTTTTTTTTTTGGGGGGGTGGTCCGGTCGCGGGGCCTGAACTCTGGGCCTGGGTGCTTCCCTCAGCTCTTCTGCTCAAGGCTAGCACTCTACCACTTGAGCCACAGTGCCACTTCTGGCTTTTTCCTTTTTGCTTATGTGGTACTGAGGAATCGAACCCAGGGCCTCATGCATGCAAGGCAAGTGCTCTACCACTGAGCCACCTTCCCAGCCCCATATTTTTCTATTTTTAAAAAACTTTTAAGTTTCAACATTTTGAAAGTGCTTTGAGAATCAACCCAGGATCTCAGACATAAATCATACCCCAGTCCTCAACTGAATAACTGGCAAAAAAGAGTTAATGAAAAATAGTCAACTAGGGCTGGGAAGGAGTCTCAGTGGTAGAGCACTTGCCTTGCATGCCTGAGGCCCTGGGTTTGATTCCTCAGCACTACATAAGCAAAAAGAAAAAAAAACCGGAAGTGGCGCTGTGCCTCAAGTGGTAGAGCGCTAGCCTTGAGCTGAAGAGCTGAGGGACAGCGCCCAGGCCCAGAGTTCAGGCCCCACGACCGGACCCAAAAAAAAAGAAAAAGAAAAATAGTCAACTAAAATCCTGACTATTATAGAGAAAAATTCATTGTTAAAATCCTTAAGGTTTTTTTTTTCTTCATTGAGCTGAAAGAAATTAAACATAAATTAGCCAGTTAGCCCTTAGTCTTTTTTTTTTTTTTTTTTTCATATTGGCCATTCCCCTGCCACAGCCTCTGAGTAACTGATACTGCAGTCCCCAGAAACACATCATCATATCACCACACCCAGCTAGAATAGCTTTTTAATTGAAATACCAGAACTGCACTAGTGTAATAAACACCAGCCAACCACATGTGACTATATTGAAATTTTAATTAAGTAAAATTGAAGATACAGCTCTTCAATTATAGCCACAAGATGAGTTGAGTGACTGCCATATATTAGTACAGAAACAGAACATTAGAACATTTCCATCATGGTAAAAAAAATTCTAGCCAAGGGCTGGGAAGTTGGCTCAGTGGTAGAGCGCTTGCCTTGCATGCCTGAGGCCCTGGGTTCGATTCCTTAGCACCACATAAGCAAAAAGAAAAAAAGCCAGAAGTGGCGCTGTGGCTCAAGTGGTAGAGCACTAGCCTTGAGCTGAAGAGCTGAGGGACAGCGCTCAGGCCCAGAGTTCAGGCCCCACAACCGGACCCAAAAAAAAAAGAATTCTAGCCAGATGCTGGTGGTTCACACCTGTAATCCTAGCTACTCAGGAGGCTGAGATCTGAGGATCATGGTTCAAAGCCAGCCTGGGCAGGAAAGTCTGTGAGACTCTTATCTCCAATAAACCACTAGAAAACCAGAAGTGGCGCTGTGGCTCAAGCAGTAGAGCACTTGCCTTGAGCTGAAATGCTGAGGGATAGCACCCTAGCCCAGAGTTCAAGCCCCACGACAGACAAAAAAAACTATTAGAAAGCATGGTGGAGACTTCTTTTTTAAAGTATACCCTTTAGATTCTAGCTAAAATGACATGAGCTTCTGTGAGAGTGCTCTCATTTTGAACATTTATAATAAGTCACATGAAATCATGAAATTAAATACATATTTCCTCAATCCAAATTTCATTTGGATTTTTTTTTTTTTTTTTTTGGTCAGTCATGGGACTTGAACTCTGGGCCTGGGCACTGTCCCTCAGCTTTTCAGCTTAAGGCTAGTGCTCTACAACTGGAGCCACAGCACCACTTCAGTTTTGAGTGATTTATTGGAGATAAGAGTCTCACAGACTTTCCTGCCCCGGCTGGCTTTGAACCGTGATGTTCAGATCTCAGCCTCCTGAGTAGTTAGGATTACAGGTGTGAGCCACTGGCATCCAGCTTCATTTGGATTTTTTGATATGACAAAGGACTAAGTATATAGCTACTGTATTTTAAAAGACCATGATTTCCAATACTATGTCCTATTTTGTTCCATCCTGGGATGCCACCAAGTGAAAATTTGAGGTATTGCATTTAGATGAAAAGGTTAAAATTTTGATGAAAGTGCCAATATGTATTTCCTAACTGGTTTCCCTTCCTTGGGAACAGAACACTGTGTTATTCTGGAATCTTAGTTGGAAAATTTTATAAGTGAATTTCTTGGTGTGGTCTAGTCAGAATGTATCCAAGACAAACTGTCCTATGGCATTTGATTGTTTTATCTTCATAATTTATTTCCTCAGTCACATTTCTGCCTTGGTATTGCCATGTCACTCCTCTATAACTCATAAATCATCCACAGTCAATCCTAGATAACATGAAGTTTGCTAATGGTAGGAAGTAGTGTTCTAAATAGACAGACTATTCTTGAACATGTCTGTACTTCAAAACCTGAGTGATATTTTGGCCTGAGGCATCAAGAAAAGATTGTTGAGTAGGGAAAATTAGAAAGGGGGAAGCTAGTTCTTTTCAAGACAATGTACTGGCCCTGTTGGCAACTAGAATGTAATGTTGTCAATCTCAGTTCCACAAACTTGCCAATTGCTGTTTTTCTTTCTCTGTAGTGAAGTGAGAATTCTACTAGAGGAAATGGCTGCCTCTTCATCCTCCTCCTCAGCTGGTGGGGTCAGTGGAAATTCTGTCACTGGATCTGGTTTCAGTGTCTCAGACCTTGCCCCGCCACGGAAAGCCCTTTTCACCTACCCCAAAGGAGCTGGAGAGATGTTAGAAGGTGATCTCATGCTGCTTTTTTGCTGAATAATTTGATTCAGACCTGCAGTGAATATTAATTGCAAAGAAGCAACTAAGTGTATTAGAGATGGATTTGCCCTGATTTCAGTTCCACATTACATCTCATATCCCTGTCTCAAAGTAAAACTTTGAAAAAAAACAATCTTGCTCTAGAATCAAAATTTTGAAGTTGAAAAAGACTGAATCATTCAGAGTTCTTTACCTCCACAAAGGTTAAGTGATCATGTTAAAAGACAGAATCAGTCCTGGAGCCAAGACTTCTCTTGATCTCCAGCTCAGTTTGCTTTATTATAGCTCTGTCTACCTCCCTATGGTTAGCTGGTTTGGTGTATTTTCTTTCTGTGTGTGAGTAATCTACAGATAGATTAACACTACTTGGGTTAAGAGGAAATAAAAACTAATGCACTACTATGTGACAGTGAGCATCCTGTGGAACTACAGGATAATGTTGTGTGGTTTTACTAATACTAGAGACAGATTTGCATTTAGTCATGCACTGTCTTACTCAGCACACATTTGCACATTTATAGACTGGCTGGTCAAAATGAAGGTACAGGCAGTAATCATGGAACAGCATCGCTGACAGGAATGTGTCATATTTATGGCACTTTGCAAGTTGTTTGTTTTGTTTTTTTTTTTTAAGATGAGGGGGTGGGATTCTCACTATTAACCCATGGCTGGCCTTGAATTCGTAATTTTTCTGCATCAGTCTCCTGAGTACTAGAATTATACTACTGGCTTAGTACTAATCATTCTTCTTAGGAAGTGTAATAATAATCACCTGGGCAGCCTATTAACATCTCCATTTCTGGGCCCACCGTAGGAATACCAGGTTGGTCAAACATAAGAATCTCCATTTTTGACCAGCATTTAGATAGTATTTTCCCCCATATTCTGAAAAATGTTGGCAAACTACTAAGAATTCAAAATTTACTTAAAGCAAGCATTTTTATATTTTATATACTTTATATTGATCATTTTTCTTCTAAATCTTCTACATGTTCATGTGTTTACTTTAAAACTAGTCAAGAGGGCTGGGAAGGTGGCTCAGTGGTAGAGTGCTTGCCTCGTATGCATGAGGTCCTAGGTTCAATTCTTCAGCACCACATAAGCAGAAAAAGCCAGAAGTGGCACTGTGGCTCAAGTGGTAGAGTGCTAGCCTTGAGTTGAAGAGCTGAGGGACAGTGCCCAGGCCCAGAGTTCAGGCCCCACAACTGGCAAAAATACAAAACAAAAAAAACTAATCTAGAAATGTCTCTGAGAAACGTACAGCATAATTTGGAGTTAGCTTTTTTGGCAGTTTTAGGTTAAACACTGACTTGACTTTTTTGGGTCTTGTTTTTGGGGTGTTACAGGTTGAACCCAAGTACCTCACACATGCTAGGCAAGCATTTTTTACCAACCCTATGCCCAGCAAGCTGGGGGAAAATCAGTTGAGTCAGGAAAACACAGGCATCTAGGACTGTCCGCCTCTGTCCAAGTGGTAGCATATGTATGTAGTTAACACATGAGAGAGATGTCCTTCTGCCATTGCATTTTATTCCTTTATGTCAAATAAATAGTCAAGTTAGTATTGGGCCTTCTTTTGTTGTTGTTGTTGTAGTTGTTTTTTCTTTGTTTTGTTTTATAGATCATGGGACTTGAACTCTGCCCCTGGGTGCTATCCTTGAGCCCTTCAGTTCAAGGCTAGTGCTCTACTACTTGAGCCACAGCGCCACTTCCAGTATTGGGCCCTCTTTATCATATTTAGCACTAAAACTTTTGGTTAAGTGCAGCAGAGATGAAGGGTATTAAAGAAGTTTCCCACAAAACAAATCAAAACTTGAAAGTACTATGAGTTTGGGTTTTGTTTTGTTTTTTGTCAGACATGGGGCTTAAACTCAGGGCCTGGGCACTGTCTCTGAGGTCTTTTTGCTCAAGACTAGCACTCTACCACTTTGAACCACAGTGCCAATTCAGTTTTTGAACAGTTAATTGGAAAGTGTCACCGGGACTTTCTGCCCAGGCTGGCTTCAAACCACAATCCTTAAATCTCAGCCACCTGAGTGGCTAGTATTACAGGCATGAGCAACCCATGCCGGCTGCTTAATGAGTTTTGTAACAGCAGAAGAGAAATCAACGCTTAACAACAGTGCTCTGAAATTAAAGTCATTTAAATTCTATTTTCAAGAGGAATTTTATTACAAGAGATGCCTCCATAGTCTCAAGTCTATCAGCTTTCTTTGACGATGTACCAGATTATGTAGAAGGATTGAAGAAGAAAGCTTTGAGATAAGTCTGAATATTGATGTTCTAACAAGCTATAGATCTATCCATTTGCATTGCTTCATGGAAGAATGTCTTTCGTTCCATCATAGAATAAATTTATTACGTTTAAATGCATGTTGTACAATTGTGATTCTGCTTCTTAGCTTTGAATTTCATCAGTGATCTTAAAGCTTCTTACATTTTAAAACAGACTATAAAAATAACAGTGAGGGGCTGGAAAGGTGGCTCAGTGGTAGAGCGCTTGCCTTGCATGCTCGAGGCCCTGGGTTCGATTCCTCAGCCCCACATAAGCAAAAAGAAAAAAGCCGGAAGTGGGGCTGTGGCTCAAGTGGTAGAGCACTAGCCTAGACAGCTAGACAGCTGGGAGCCAGACAGCGCCCAGGCCCAGAGTTCAGGTCCCACGACCGGACAAAATAAATAAATAAATAAATAAAAATAACAGTGATAGTGGTGCTAAGGCTTAAAGTGGTCGAGCTCTAGCCTTTAGTGAAAAAGCTCAGGAACAGCACCCACACAATGAGTTCATATTCCACAACCAACAAAAATAGTGAGGCCAACTCTATTAAATATTACTTAATACAAAAAAAATATTAAACTGGGGGCTGGGAAGGTGGCTCAGTGGTAGAGGACTTGCCTAGCATGCATGAAGCCCTGGGTTCAATTCCTCAGTACCACATAAACAGAAAAGGCTGGAAGTGGCTTAGGTAGTAGAGTGCTAGCCTTGAGCAAAAGCAGCTCAGGGACAGTGCCCAACCCTGAATTCAAGCCCTAGGACTGGCAAAAAAAAAAAAAAGCTGAAAATTTAAGTACAGTCATCCCTCTGTTTCTGCAGGGCATTCATTCCACTCTACACCACACCACTTCCCATCTTCCCACTCCACATACTTCCACCACCATGAATATTAAAATAAGCAAGTGTTTAAGGTTCATACAAAAATAGTGTCCCATGTAATAGTCCTAAATGTGAATAAGGATGTTAGATTTGGAAGCTTTTCTACTGTGTTTGTAGGTGTTGCTCTCATACAACTAATCAGACCTGCATGCACCAAACTATATTTCTACAAAAGCTTAATAGACTAGGGAACCAGAAGAGTAGGGTTGCCTCTTGAGTAAAGAACAAAGCAATTACAAGTCAAGATTGGATGCTGTTTATAATCTTAACAGGTTGAACTTGATGTTTCAGCCTCCTAAATCTAGAATAGTAAATCCAAATAACCTGTAGTTAACCTTGTAAATTAGCTTTTTGGAGCACCTGCTTCTGATAACAGCCTGCCCATGTAGCAGCACAAGCAGGCTTTGGTATTCGCCTGCCCTTCACTACAATTGTCCTTACCCAGTTATTAGCAAGCAATTAGAAGCTGCCTTCCAGCCCAGAAGTGGCTGTGTTTTAGTGACATTGTAGGCCACTGAAGTATAAATTAACCTAGCATTGTCTTAATTTCCTGCTGTGAGGTAATATTCTTATAAATGAATTTGTGAGCATTATATTTAGTTGGTGATGGTGTTAGATTTGGGCAGTTTACTGAACTTTTCACTATTTATAACCTTTGCTTGTCCCTTAAGAGGAAAACTGATGTATTGCTACTTGGTGTGTTAAAAAGAATTTGATTACAATTTCCAAATAGAGGACAGACTGCCACAAGCAAACTCCTTCCTGAAGAAATTCCAGACTTCAGATTGATACAGATATAATATCTAATAGGATGTGGTTAAGAAGCAATGGACTTTGTGGCTGATACAGAGGTGCAAATTAGCAAAAGTGTGCTCATAGGCCTATCGTGTGGCAGAGTGACACTTGGACACCTTTTTGAAAGATCACCTTACATCTTTTTTGTTTTGAAGCTAATTACCCAGGAAAAGATGCAGAAGTGATAACGAGAAACATTTTTTCCTGATAGTGCCCATGATTAAATGTAAGTAGGAAGCATTATTTCCAAGAGCTTCCATGTTTACTTAACCCTTAGAACTCCTAATTCCTACTGCCTTGTGTTAAGATCCTAAAGTCCAGGATCTAACCACAGAGGAGATAAGCTATATTTTTCTATGCTTTCTTTCTAAAAGAAAATTTGAAACCGGGCGCCAATAGCTCACGCCTGTAATCCTAGCTACTCAAGAGGCTGAGATCTGAGGATTGCGGTTCAAAGCCAGCCCAGGCAGGAAAGTCCATGAAACTCATATCTCCAATAAACCACCAGAAAACCAGAAGTGGCGCTGTAGCTCAAGTGGTAGAGTGCTTGCCTTGAGCTAAAGAGCTAAGGGACAGCACTCAGGCCCAGAGTTCAAGCCCCACAACGAGAAAAAAAAAGAAAATTCGAGTTATTTATATCTTTGCTTAAAGAGTTCACTGGGAGGCATGAGAATGATGAAAGGGGTGATATCAAGCAAAATGCATTGTACTGATGAGCTGATTTGTTGGATAGTAACCCCTTTGTATACCACTTAAGGATAATAAAAATTAGTTTTGTTATTTTGTTTTTTTTTTGTCAGTCATGAGGCTTGAATTCCAGGCCGGGATGCTGCCCCTGAGCTCTATTGCTCAAGGCAAGCACTTTACCACTTTGACCCACAGTGCCACTTCTGGTTTCTTGGTGGTGGTTAATTGAAGATAAGAGTTTCACTGACTTTTTTTTTTTTTTTAGTCAGTCGTGGGACTTGAACTCTGGGCCTGGGCGGTGTCCCTCAGACCTTCAGCTCAAGGCAAGCACTCTACCACTTAAGCCACAGCACTACTTCTGGTTTTCTACCACTTACGCCACAGCACTACTTCCATCTTTTTCTGTTTATGTGGTACTGAGGAATTGAACCCAGCACGTCTTGCATGCAAGGCAAGCATTCTACCACTGAGCCACTTTCCCAGCCCCTCACTGACTCTTTTTATATGCCCAGCTTTGAACAGCAATCCTCAGATCTCAACCTCCTGTGTAGCTAGGATTACAGGCATGAGCCACCAGCACCCAGCATAAAAATGTAATTTTTTTTTTAAATGTAATTTTAAAAGTGTTTATTGAGGAATGGTAATGTGTCTTAGTGGGCGAATGCTTGCCAAGCTTGCATGAAGCCCTGGGTTCCATTGCTTAGAACCATGTAAACAGAAAAAGCCGGAAGTGACGCTGTGGCTCAAGTGGTACAGTGCTAGCATTGAGCAAAAGAAGCTCTGGGACAGTGTCCAGGCCCTAAGTTCTACCCCAGGACTGGGGGAGAAAAAAGAAGTGTTTATGGAGTTAAAATTTTTAAGTGAAGATAGAAAATAGGATAGTGAATGCTGGCAGATCATTTACATGCTATAACTGCATGATTGGTATCAAATGGTCACAACAGTCCCACTTTCCTTGTTTGAATTCATAGTTGTATGCTGCCAGTTGCTCTTTCTTATCTAAAATTAAAACTCTGTGAGGTCATTAGCTTCTCTAGATCTTTATACTGGACAGTCATGCTAAGGGTGTAGCTCATTGGTAGATTGCTTGTTTAGTGTTTACAAGGTCCTGGGTTCAATCCCTAGTGCCACAAAGGATGGACAGGAGAGTGGGAGGAAGCAGGAGTCTTGACTTTACAAATTATAACACTGTGAAGAATTTAATCCTAGAAATTCTTTTTCCATTTGTTTTTTATGGCAGCTATTTAATGAACTCTGTGTGTGTGTGTGTGTGTGTGTGTGTGTGTGTGTGTGTGTGTGTGTACACACACACACATGCTGGTACTGGAGCTTAAACTTGGGGTCTTGAACTTAAGACCAGTACTCTTGCTTTTCCCATTCAGGGCTGGCACCTACCACTTGAGCCATACCTCCACTTCTGGGTTTTTGTTGGTCAGTTGGAGATATGAGTCTCATGGATGTTTCTGTCTGGGCTGGCTTCAAACCTCAATCCTCATTAGATCTTAGACTCCTGAGTAACTGGGATTAAAAATTAGCATACATTAGGGGTTTTTTTATTGTTATTATAGAAATGATGTACAGAGGGGTTACAGTTACTCAGGTCAGATAAAGAGTACATGTTTTAGGATAATGTCACCACGCCTTTCCTCCTCTCTCCCAGTTTTTCCCTCCAGTTCCCACCCACAAGTTATATAGTTCATTTTCAACATAGTATCTAGTGAGTACCACTGCTACATTTGCATACATTAGTTTTACAGAGAGACTTCCATTGTGATATTTCCATATTCCATGTAAACAATATATCCCAGTCAGCTTTTCCCCATTTTGTCATGTTCCCCATCCCTCCCTTCTTAAAATAATTTAAACAAGTTTCACTGTTCTATTATAATTCATGGAGTTAATGACTACATTGACCACACTCATCCCTGTTTACCTGATCCTTAGCCCTTCTCACTCCCACTGGTGCCCACCTTCCCCATCTCAATCTGTTTTACTTTCTTGTTATTCTTTTTTTTTTCTTTTGTTGGTTGTGGGCCTGAACTCTGGGCCTAGGTACTGTCCCTTAGCTCTTCAGCTCAAGGTTAACCCTCTACCACTTGAGCCACAGTACCACTTCCGGCTTTTTTTGCTTATGTGGTGCTGAAGAATCGAACCCAGGACCTCATGCATGCAAGGCAAGCACTCTACCACTGAGCCACCTTCCCAGCCCTCTTGTCATTCATTGTTCTTAGTGTGTATTCATTTCACCAAGTAGTTTTGCTATTGTATTTCAGACACCTATATTTGGTTCAGAATACCCTTCTCGTGCTTTCTTTCCCTTTTTTTGGGGAAGGAGGGCACCAACTTGAAAATATGTTGGAAGAAGCCCTCTTGGTTCAGGTCTTTTGGATACAATATCTAAGATTTTCTTATTGGTTACTATGAATTATGAAAGATTTGCCCTATGTGAAATTCAGCATGAGGCCAGTATGTGTTAGTCCAATTTTCCTGTCATTTAATACCTGACCAACACATTATCACAAGATGGATGGTTGAATGTTGTCACCTAGTAGTGCTGGCGTGACCTACTATCTTGATAAAGACCACTGTGTTCTCTTTCCATTTGTTTTGAATTGTTGCAATAAGCAAATGGTTACTGACCCAAATGGTTTCTGTTATCTTTTAAAAAATAAAAATTTCCTCCGTGAATTATATATCTTTGGGGATATGTTTCGCTGTATCAGCCCTTGCCTGAGAGGAATAACATGAACTAGCTTAGGTTTCACAATCCTAGTGTTGTGGTGACCAAGTTAGCCACCTCCTTGTTGGCAGTTCTTGGCACCAGCTCAGTTCTAGGTTCTGAACTTGCACCATACTCTTATCATCCAAATTGCAGTGTTTTAGTTCAGCTGAAAAATCAAGGTTACAATTTGCGTTTATAGAAAGAAATTTCCCAGCAGTGTTTTTGTGATGGTCATGATGATGATGTAATTTGATATATTGAAAATCAACAACTGTGTTTCCCTCAGCTTTGTTTTTAGAATGAAACTGCTTTGGAGTTTTGGTGTACCTTTGTGCTATGATAGCATAGGTGCCAAGTGGCTGAATGTGTCAGCTGCCAGTGTTTCCCTGATGTTTGGAAGAAGAGAACATTAAGAAACTGTCAGACTGGGAGGGGGAAGTGTTCACTAGGACATCAGACTGAGGTTTCTTGTTTTTGTTTTTTTAAACACTATTTTTAAGGTCTTAAAGTAGAGGGGCTATTTTAATATTCTAGGTATAGAAAAAGTGGCTTTTAGAACAGCAATATTCCTTCTTAATGAAACACACCCTCCTTGTTAATACTACAAACAACTTAGACCTCATGTAAAAGCAGGAAAAAGAATGGACAGGTTTACTTGGTTTATCAGAAGATATAACACTGAAACCTTTTCCTCTTTTGTTTTGAAGATGGCTCTGAGAGATTCCTTTGTGAGTCTGTATTCAGTTATCAAGTGGCTTCCACGCTTAAACAGGTGAAACATGGTAAGCACAAAGTGTGGTCTACTGGATTGTGAAAATAAATTTATGGGGGGCAAAGCAGATTCTAAAAGGTCCATGAACTGTGACCAAAAAAAAAAAAAAAAAAAACTCAGCAAAGCTATTTAAGTAGACTTCCTAAATTACAGGACATTCTGAGGGCTTAATCCAGACAGAACATCCACACTGAGATTTGAAGTGGAAGTCAGAAGGAAGGGCTTGTTCTCTAAGGGAGCCAGTGTTCCTGCCCTTCATGTGTTGATTTTTCCTTTCTAAAACCTCCTTTTGTACTCCATGGTTTACTCTATTCTTCTTCACCATTCACATATTCTGTCTGGACTTCTAAGCCCTGATGGAACATTTTCCACTCCATCTATCTCATCCCTTTCTGACCCATGGAAAGCACTACATAGGAGACAAAACTCCCCTGTGTAGCATAGAAAGTATGGAGTTTTTCTTTTTTAAAAACTGTAGCACAGGGCCGGGCTCTGGTGGCTCAGGACTGTAATCCTAGCTACTCAGGAGCCTGAGATCTGAGGATCAATGTTCAAAACCAGCCTGAGCAGAAAAGTCCGTGAGACTCTTATCTCCAATAAACCACCAGAAAACCAGAAGTGGGGCTATGGTTCAAATGGTAGAGCACTAACCTTGAGCTGAAGAGCTGAGGGACAGCGCCCAGACTCTAAAAAAAAAAAAGAACTGTAGCACAGCCAGATATTGGTGACTCATACCTGTTGTAATCTTAGCCACTCAGGAGGCTGAGATCTTGAGGGTCACAGTTCAAAGCTAGCTGAGGCAGAAAAGCTCATGAGACTCTTATCTCCAATTAACTACCAAAAAGGCTAGAAATGTAATTATGATTCAAGTGGCAGCTAGCCTTGAGCAGGAAAAGCTCAAGGACAGCACCCAGGCCCCGAGTTCAAGACCCAAGACTGGCATAAAGACAAAAAAAAAAGGTACGGCCATGTACCAGCCAGCTCCAATCTGTGATCCTGGCTACTCAAGGAGGATCAAGATTAGAAACCAGCCTGAACAGAAAAATCCACAAGATTCCATCTCTATCCAGCAAAATGCTGGACTGTAGGTGTAGCTCAAGCAATAGAGTACCAGCTGAGCAAACTCAAGGGGCCTGAATTAAAACCCCAATATGGCAAAAATAATAAACTACAAAGAAGACAGAAGCTGATGTAACTTAGTGATAGTATACTTGCCTAGAATGTGCAAGGCCCTGGGTTCAGTCCCTTGCACTCAAAAAAAAAAAAAAAAAGTAATAACATAAAATACAAAAGCAAGCAGTAAAGGTAAATGGAAATGATTGAAGTCTTCTAGCCAACACAGTAAAACCTTATTACTAGACTACTGAGGGGGCATAGCTACTGGGAAGCATTTTTAAGCCAGTAATCAAGTTGGTGATGGATGACAGTCTCATGAAAAATACATTGTTGTATCATATTACTTCCTTGACTCTTTACAGATCAGCAAGTTGCTCGGATGGAAAAACTCGCTGGTTTGGTAGAAGAGCTAGAGGCTGATGAATGGCGGTTTAAGCCGATTGAGCAGCTGCTGGGGTTCACACCCTCTTCAGGGTGATGTTGCCTAGATGGCTACCTCTGGGCACAGCCAATACAGAGCCAATAAGGAACCTACAGCTTCCAGAGCCACCCAGAGATCAACAACTGCATCGCCAAACCGCTGATTCCCATCCTATTTGGTTCTCTATAGGCAACAAATACTTAAATATGTGATCTTGCATTAAACAGCCTGTTACAGAGAACAAAGAGTTGTGAGTTTAAGAAATATTTGTAAAATTGTCACAAACCAAATAGGACACATGCCAGAACTGAATGACATGTGTCTTGTTATTCCTAGAGTACCTAGAAACCTTCACCACTCAAGTCCAATAGCAGGATACTTCTTTTCAAACATGAATTCAACTTAGGACCTGTCTAAAAGAGGAATTTTTAAATGTTCAATTTTTTTTGCTGTTTTAAGACATCTAATTCTATAGATTCTTAATTTTTTCTAATTTCTTCTGAGCATTTTGCTTTTTGAATATTGGAGCACTTGTAAAAATAAAGAAGTGAGCAAAACCCTTTCAGTCACAGAAATCCTCTGTCCAAGCCAGATGTGGTGGTACAAGCCTATATTCTCAATACTTGGAAAACTGAGGCAAGAGAGTGGCAAGTTTTAGGCCAACCTGGAACATATAGTGAGACTGTGTCTCACAAAACAAACAGAAACCAGGTGCTGGTGCTCATATCTGTAATCTTAGCTACTCAGGAGGCTGAGATCTGAGAATCCAGGTTCAAAGCCATCTTGGGCAGGAAAGTCAATGAGATTCTGATTAACTACAAAAAAAGCTAGGAGTAGAGGTGTGGCTCCCAAGTGGTAGAGCCCTAGCCTCAAGCAAAAGAAACTCAGGGACTATGCTGAGACCCTGAGTTCAAGCCCCAGGATCACAAAAAAAAAAAAAAGGAAGAAAAGAAGAGAAGGAAACATCATGTGGACTCAAGCAATTCTGTAGCAAGTCCTTTGAAAGTGCTCTAAATTGGTGTCTTCATCCTGAAAAGTATTAGGGATTTAGGATAAAGAGGTCAAATCATTTTCTACAAGAATAGAAAAACATTCTCTTATGCCATTAGTAGATTTGCTTTACTTGAATTTATCTCATTGATAAGTGAGTAGATTTTTATGTCAGAATAGAGGAAAACCTGGAAGAGGTGTGAGGTGTTCATTGTTCTTCCTCATGGCACACATGTATGTGTAGCATCCACACTGCACAATTAGAATCCTTTATTGTATGCAGTTTTTACCTTACCAGCATTTGCCTTTCTCTTCATTAATGATATATCTGATCTGCTTAGAGATGCTTAATTATAAATAAGTATAATCCCAATTGGCCTTAATCTCAGGAGTCCAAAATGTTTTAACACATATTACCTAACAGGGAAGTGGTGACCTCGTTTGGTCAGTAAAATCAGCCCCATAAAGACCTGCTCCTAGTCACAGCCTAGGCAGAAAAGAAGCCTGGAACTCAGATCACACTGCTTGATAATTCAGCCCACTATTCTTGCCTCTAAAATCAGAGCTCAAGAAATACTAGCCCCTTGGACTGGGAAGGTGTCTCAGTGGTAGAGTGCTTGCCTTGCATGCATGAGGCCCTGGGTTCAATTCCTCAGCACCACATAAGCAGAAAAAGGCAGAAGTGGTGCTATGGCTCAAGTGCTAGAGCGCTAGCCTTGAAGAGCTACAGGACAGCACCCAGGCCCAGAGTTCAGGCCCCACTACCGACGGGGCGGGGGGTGGGGGGAGTACTATCCCATGAAACAGTTTTTTCATATTAATACTGCTCAGCCAAGACAAACAGGATTCAGGTATGAAAGTGATTGTTTCCTAACATACTGTCTATCATCAGTCATCTTGATGATTACCAAATGAAAAATAATACTTGGGCTGTAATATTTAAATTAGGTTTGTTGACAACTTGGCAGCAATTCATTTGTGTAAATGCAGCAGCAGCAACACGAGATCACTTCATCTTTACCCTGTGTCTGAACTTCCCACAGAATTAAAGCAGTCTTGAAGTTAAACTGAAATGCCTTTTTTTCCCCTCCTTTGTCAGTTCTGGGGCTTAAACTCAAGGAGAGCCTGGACACTATCCCTAAGCTTTTGTGCTCAAGACCAGCACTCTATCACTTCAAGCCACAGCTTCATTTTGGCTTTTAGTAGTTAATTGGAGCTAAGAGTCTCATGGATTTTCTTGCCCAAGGTGGCTTTGAACTGTGATCTTCAGATCTCAGCCTCCAGAGTAGCTAGGATTACAGGCATGAACCACAGGTGCCTGACCTGAAATGCTTCCAATGTGAACTTTTCTACTCACATTGACCCTTCAGCTGCTTCTTAAGTTCTGCTAAGAAGACCCTTGTTAATTTTTTTTTTGTTGTTTTTATTTTTTGCCAGTCCTGGGGCTTAAACTCAGGACCTGGGCATAGTCCCTGAGCTCTTCAGCTCAAGGAGAGTGCTCTACCACTTCTACCTCTTGAGCCACAGCTCCACTTCTGGTTTTCTGGTGGTTAATTATAGATAAGAGTCTCACAAGACTCCTGCCCAAGGCTGGCTTTGAACCATGATCCTCAGATCTCAGGCTCCTGAGTAGCTAGGATTACAGGCATGAGCCACAGCGCCACTTCCAGCTTTTTGTTTACAAGGTACTGAGGATCCAAACCCAGAGCTTCGTGCATGCTAGGCAAGCACTCTACCACTAAGCCACATTCCCAGCCCAACCCTTGTTAATTTTTTTAGGATTGCCCCCTCCCTCTCTACACCTTTCTCTTGGCCATATGTCTCATCCACAATTCCTGTCACCCTGCTGTGGGCTTGAAGATGACTCCTCTGGCTCATCTATCATCTCCTGTGTACATGATAAGTGCCAGTTACTCAGAGGTGTATTACAATCATTTTCAGTGACGTTGTAAGCTATGTACTACCCCTCATATAGAAAAGGAATTTGGAGCTCTGAGCAAGGCTACCCAGCTCAAATTGGCCCGTTGTAGACTTGGACTCAAAGTCTACCAGCTCCAAAGCGGTATTAGAAGCACCATACCATATTCCACTGAACCTAACCCAGAGCCCTGTACAAAGAAAAATCCGAAAACCTTTTATTCAGATAAATGAAGTAACTACTTTAAGAAAGGCCTTGCCACTATCCTCCATGCCCTGTTCCTCCCAAGGTATGGTGAGAAGGCTTCCAATATGATAAGATGCTTTACCCAGCAGGAGTCAGCAGGAACTGACTATACATCAGTTTCTACATACTGGCTTACACTACTGAGATATAAATGCTAAACTTAATAGGTGACTTTCCTTTTGTGAAGTCAAAAGTTCCCATTTTTGGCTGGGAATGTGGCTTAGTGGTAAAGTGCTTGCCTAGCAGGCATGAAGCCCTGGGTTCGATTCCTCAGTAATACATAAACAGAAAATGCTGGAAATGGTGCTGTGGCACAAGTGGTAGAGTGCTAGCCTTGAGCTAAAAAGCTGAAGGACAGCGCCCAGGCCCAGAGTGCAGGCCCCATTCCTGTGAGGGGGGTGGGGAGAGGTCCCATTTTTAACTTTGTATTTAATTTTATCCAATATCAACACTGTAGTTCAGAATTTGGTGGGGGAGATTTTTTTATTCAATAATGGGATCTCGCCATGTTTTTGCCCAGAGTGGCTTTCAACTCCTGGGCTCATGTAATCATCCTACTTTAGCTTCCCAAGTAGCCAGACAACAGATACCCACCATTTATCAGGCTAGAAGTCTGAGCTCCCCTGATAGACTTTAGATTGTATCTTTAGTGTCATTTCCTACCTGACCCTCACCTGAACTAACTGGTCTGGAGCTCTACATGACTTTCCTGACCCAAGAAGCTCTCCTGCTCACTTACTTACAGCCTATGGTTTTCTCCACATGATTGGGAACTTTGAATTCTCTTCCTATTCAGGGTACCACAAACTAAAGTGGTATAAATTTTAAGCCTTAAGGCTGAGGACCTAAACCAGGTGTGGCAGACAACCCAGCACTCAAAGGGTTTAAGAGAATTGCCAGTTTGAGGCTAAAAGCTATAAAACAAGACTATCTTTAAAAAAGAAAGAAAGAGGGGCTGGGAAGGTGGCTCAGTGGTAGAGCACTTGCCTTGCATGCATGAGGCCCTGGGTTCAATTCCTCAGCACCACATAAGAAAAAAGCCAGAAGTAGCACTGTGGCTCAAGTGGTAGAGCTCCAGCCTTGAGCTGAGAGACAGCACCCAGGCCCAGAGTTCAGGCCCCACAACTGGACCCAAAAAAAAAGAAAAAAAAAAAAAAACAAGACTTTTACCTCATAAAGGAAAGGAGCTTGGTCTAGCAGCCCAAAGAAAGAGACAAAACCTGCCCAAGGGTAAGGACCTTTCACACAAACCTGACATACCACACCCAAAAAAATACCACAATGCTTCTCCCTGTCCTTTTGCCAAAGTGCTCAAACTTACCAGCCTCCTCGTAATTGCCTAAAGTCACAATCAAGATAAAACCTTTCATTCCTTAAGTGACAAAAGTCTCAAGTGACATACTTTGGAGAGTTAAATCATTGGTTGTGGGCAGAGCTTTTCCTGTTTTCCCAAGGCTGAATTTGAAAGCTAGATCCTTTGCCCCTAGCCTGTATATAAATTGATTTGCATATGGTCAAAGAACCTTTGAGCTGAGACCATTCTCCTTTCTACAAGCTCGTTGCAAAATTCTTTTAAGTTTTGGTTAAGGAAGGGATGTTTGAATTTGCATGTACTCCTTTTTTTTTTTTTTTTTAAGTCAGTCGTAGGGCCTGAACTCTGGACCTGGGCACTGTCCCTCAGATCTTCAGCTCAAGGCTAGTGCTCTACCACTTGAGCCACAGCACCCATTTCCTGCTTTTTCTGTGTATGTGATGCTGAGGAATTGAAACCAGGGCCTCATGCATGCAAGTCAGGCACTCTATCACTGAGCCACCTTTCCAGCCCCTGCATTCACTCTATTTTAGAAACTACTGGCTGTTTTTCCAGTGCAAAGTCCATAGTGAACTACTGCCTGAGGGAGTTCAGAAACTATCAGACAGAGGCAAGGCTATTACCCAGAACTCCACCCAGAGCTGCTATAATGCTGCTACACAGAGAGAAGCTGTGGAACAAACGGAAACTGTTTGGAAGCAGCCGTGTCTCATGTGATTCTGTCCATGTGAGGATCCCAGGCAGAAGATGCTGGTGGCTGCTTGTCCTGCACATGGCCTACTGGTAGTGCCATGTGTCAGTGTCCACAGCTGGGCTCCACCTCTCAAATACTTCAATGTCTCCAGTCTGTCCAGTTTCCTTAAGAGTTGCTTTCCACATCAGTCTGCGTTGTTATAATAATGTAAGCTGTTCAGAGCAGGTAAACAGGACAATTTGTTACCTTCAAAAGAAAGGGGAAGTTCCTCCTCTTTTCTTCCTTCAGCAGACACAGAACCCACCCTTATGTGTCTGGTATCTGCTAGAGGCTCAGGATATATGTTGGAAAAAAAGGACATGGTCACTAACTGCAAGGAGTTTAAATATTTATGTGTCTTTTTTT